GTATTGCTATAAAAATGCAGATCTCAGAGTAGCCAGGTAAATGACCCAGTTTTTACAAAGGAATGACTGCTTCCTAAGAAAATAGGCAGATTCCTCAAATTCCACAAGGAGCATGTGCTTTACTTAAGGTTAACCAGTCAGCAAATATGTGTGCAGGGCACACCAAAGCCAGAGACTGTGACAGGGGAGGTGTTTGGTGTCACTCTTTTAAGGCTAGGAGGGACTGCTGGTTGGGCCACCCTTTTAGACAAGTGGTTCTCAAACTTGAATAGTCTATTGATTTCTTTTAAAGTATATAAAAATTATGACCTCCGGTGTTATTTTTATGATAGTGTTAAGTATTAAAACATAAAACCACATAAAACTCCTTAAATTCTTGTGCTACTATAAAAAAGAAACTTTGACAAATTAAGTAAAACTAGTTATGTAAGTTTTATAGTATTATTCAAATAAAGGACATCAATTTAATACAATGAATGGAAATGTCTAAAACTAAATTTAACATATTATGTTTAGTAATGAAAAAGATATAACCTCAGAGTTCTGTATTTCATTAGTTTCTGAATTTGACTCCAGTAAAAATAATATAAAGAATACCTTTTTTGTAAGTATGTTGTACAAACTATTCTTAATAACTTTAAGGTGTTGTTACCTTCAAGCTAATAAAACTTGAAGCTATCAGAGAATAGCTTTCAGAGAATACAATCTTTGAAAGCTCTCTTTATTTGCTTGGAGAGGAAATTACTATTGGGATAGAGTTGTGTACGCAAACCAATAAAAGCTAAAATTAAAAACTGAAAAAATGTTTCACTGTGGATTTTCTATTACACTCACTGCTAATGGTCAGTGCAAGTTGGACTATATGAAGACAGCATCTGAGCGTATGTTAATATGCTACTGACTGCTGCTGCTCAGGTGCTTTTGGCTCGTCATGTCCTGCCATGTATGATGAGCAGATTCTCTGACCATTCTTGTCTCTGTATTACAGCAAAATGTTCTGTCTATTATGCATCTGTATATCATTTGGACTTCACTTGTTATGCACTGAGTTACAAACACAAAGACATATACCGAAGTTATATGGTTATACTCACGTATAGGGTACCCCTGTAGAGGACCTGGAATATGCTAATATCTTCTTTATTAGGTTATTATTGAAACATAAGCACAGAATTAAAGAATTAAAAAACTTGTAGCAAGCTCATGGAACCCTGTGGATATGCCCCTGGAGCCTTTGGATCAGCACTCCTTGGGGATATAATGTGGCTCTGTGAATGCACATTCCTCCCTGCCTTTCATGTCCACACTGCTGGGTGCTAAGAAAGTTGTTCTGTTTTTCTAACATTCAGATACAAGACAACATACAGAACTGTGTCAAGAAGAATTTAATGCGAAATTTTTCTTTCTTGGCTTGAGATGTCACTCCAGGGTTATAAAGGGGGCAAGTTTTAATGACATCCATCTGTTGCAGATTAAAATAGGTGGGGCTCAGCAGTGGAATTCCTTGTCCAGAATTTGACTATGGGCGTAAGTACAATTGGTTTTAGGATTTGAGAGTCCTAGGGACATAAGCAGCAAAGCAGAGAGAGGATAGTCTTACATTTGTCTGAGACTTTCTCCCAAAGAAGTTGCTTTTGCCTCATTTTTCTCTTTATTATGCTTTTATGTGTGAAATCTCCTGGCTGAGCAAAGGAAACAGTCTATTTTAAAAGCATGCTTTTCCTCCTACTTACACTTGATTTCAAAACCCTTGCTTTTATCATAATCAGTTGGGAAACACAGCATGGTAAAAATTGCTGTATCTCTCTCCATGAATGTTTGAATCCTCTTTCATCTCTGTATTGATTGAAGATAACCAGGCTAACCACTGTTTATCCAAAGCACTTGTGTCAAGGGCCTTAATCACAGATTGACCTCATTGTAGGGTATGATGTGCTTGTGTCTGTGTGGAAGGGGGAGAAGAATATATATTTCTATGCAGGTATATAAATTTGAGCTTCAATAATGTCAATATTCATATATAACTTTTAAAACCTCGTTTTATTTCCATCCTTGAAATTTACATTCTTGGACTATTTTATAATAATATTTCCATTTAATGCATTTTCTCATTTTGGGGGAAACTAAATCCCTTAAAGCAGTTCTTGGAGAATTCAACTTACACAAAAGTCTCCTATGACTCAACTGCTGAAGTGGTCCTTGGCAGAATGGCTCGGATATTATATTTCCATAGGACCCAGACCCTTCAGGACACTGGGAGCATTGTTTGCTAAAATTCTAAGGATTTGCTATAACTTTGACATGCATCCACTTTTTAAAAGTTTGGTTCAGAAAAGAGAAAACCAGTTATAAAAACTTTTCGTTACTCTATAACGGCAAAAGCAATCCTCAATGTCGTGTCCAATCCCCAGAGAAGATTCAAAGATGGTCTATTACATATTTCTCAGCAATACCTGAGGCCCCATCAGACCATCATCACCGCTCTAGGCTTCTGCAGTTGTGTTTCTAGGTGTCTCTTCATCCCTTCGGGGTTAGGCTCTTCTTCTGGCTCCACCTGTTCACAGTATTCTTTTTTATAGGAACAATATAGCAACCTGATCTTTTGCTGAGTTTAATCATGTTAGACATGTTACAGGGAGACAGACAATTGGCTTCTTAATGCAAAGCATTCTTTATCACCTGTTTCCTCATTCTCAGATGAATGTGTTTCTAAGTAGTTCGTCTCAGGTTGGTACTTAACAGAGTTAGTTTTCTAGGTGCATATAGAGGGGTGATAGCTGTGAGGGTAGGGATGGAAGTCAAGAATTTTCTCTCCAGCTGAGGCACTTTATTTAGCAAGTGCCATGATTTACAGAGTAAATATGTAGACCAAAGGCATAATTGTGGTTAATGCAGATGAAATAAACCTAGAGCTCACAGGCTAGGAATCTGTAGTAATATCCACCGTGATACTTTGAAGGTGTGGGATAGGATAGCAGATAAAACTTACAGCTCTGAACTGATAAACATAAATTAAATCTCAGGTCTTCCATTAAATAAATTTGTGTAAATATGTGACTTTGGAAACTTCCTGAATCTCTTTCCTCATCTATTAAATGGGCGTAAGAATAGTTTTTTTCTCATAGTATTGTTGTATTTGTGATATAATACATGTGACTCCTTTAGCTCTGTTCCTGACCCACTAAACACTCAGTAAATGTTACCTATAAGCATCTGCTTTATGTACAAATTGGAAAGTACTTTCTAGGAACAACCTCCGATATAATACATAGCACACAGATTTGTTTTGGAAAAACTTTATATAGAGGAATAATATGTTCGTGTTTTATATCTGCAACCCAATACTATTTAACTTTCGTTGTTTTATAGTAAAATTAATGTTTCTTGTGAGATATTAACATAACATAATACACAGTATTATAACTCACTTTTAAGTGCTGTGACAACAAACCTGAAGGTAGGAAATCCTCCTGGAATTCAGCATTTGCCTCAAACAGCAAAATAAATTTCATAGAATAGGCATTTAAAAATGAGTCACAGTTCAGTTGCTGCAGCATTGCAGATATTCTTGGAGCACTCTGCCATCGGTACAGCCTGCAGGAAGGATGAAGAGTGAAGAACAGTGTGATATTAATCATACGATGATGCAGTTCTAAAGAATCAGGGCATGAATTCTGGATGTATAGATTTCAGTCATACCTTTCAACTCAATAAATAATCTATCTCATTTATAAACATATAGGCCACTTGGTGTTTGGGTTAAAAGTGAGGTAATTTAGTTCTATGGCTTTCAGTCTTCCCATGTGTAAATCATTTTAACAGCATGCAAGTAATTCCATATTTGAAACTCCCAGAGAAAATACTTCCATTTCTATCTCTGTACATCATCACGGATCATAATAAATAGCTCTGACTGAGTGTGCCAAGAAGTTCTTGCCAAGTACTTTCTTTGAGGGAGGGAGGCAATGTAGCCTAGTGAGGAGAATGTTTAAGAGTCATCAAACCTCCATCTCACTTCCTAGTATGTCCCTTTTCATGCCACCATTTTCTTTTTAGTCAGGTATTCTATCACAAAAAAAATTATAACAGTTATGCAGGTGTCTTGGAACCCAGCAAAAGTTTATCATCATTATTATGTTATGGTTTAAAAGTCAGACTTTATAACCAAGCCAGAGGGGCCGCGTGATTGTAACTGTGCATCTGGAGCAAATCTCCTTAGGATTTGCCACAGGCAGAATTCAGCTGAGTCTCCCAGCATCCAATTTTGAGGGGAGTGTGGGAAGATGAGAAACTTAAAAAGCAGTTTCCATCCAGAGTGATCATCTTTACCAAAAGATTTTAGTCTGGTATTATGTCAGGTGGTTTAAATTGAATCATGTTTTTCCAAAATCACTGGGATCACAAAATTTGCATCAGCCCAGTCCACACCTGCCAAGTAGTGCTATCCTCTTTCCTCAAAGCACCCTTGGAGCTTTCTGTTATTCCCTTCTAATGAGACCAGATGACTGCCAAGTGACCCATACTCAGTGTTCTCTCTCAGAAGCATCTGAAAACCAACAGGAAAGAAAGAGAAAGGAAAAACCCAGTAGCTTTAATTTCTTTAGCTTTCTGATTCTTTTTTGACTTGACATTAGCTCAGTATAAAGTCACTAGAATCTTGAAGCTAAAATGAATGAGTAATAGCAGTATTTGAGGCTAGCGTCAACACGTCTTCAAATGTGGCTGAAGATTTAGAATAAAGCAGTAATAATTATTTCCATTTTAATGGTTCTTTTATACCCTAAAATATTGACTTTTAATGTACCTAAACAACTCTCTAGAAACATTGTGAGGTTGCTACCTTATAGAGTGAATGATTATTCAATGTTTTAAACTCAGTATTATTGAAATTTTTCCAACTAAAGCTTTTCTGACTTCAGTGTAAACATTCTTGTCTTTCTGTATTCGATACATTTCTACATCATCAATAGTTCACTAAAGGTCTTTTATTTTTCTCGCAGTCTGACAGCAACGCGAGCTTCCTCCGTGCTGCCAGAGCAGGCAACCTGGACAAAGTCGTGGAATATCTGAAGGGGGGCATAGACATCAATACCTGCAATCAGGTAAGAACATGACAGCTGGCTCTGTGTTGTGCAACGAAGAAACACTCAGTACATTCTCAGAGTCCAAGATTATTTTTGACTTATTAAAAATACTAAAATATCAGTGACTCAGACTTCTGAAACCCCATTTTTGCCCCCTTACCAACTTTTCAAGCATCAGATGTATCTAGAGCGATATGTAGCTGAAAAAGTAGACAGATTAAAAACAACAACTGAATGCCAATTTTGTTTATGCAATGATTTGGGCCACCTTTAGCTGAAATTTTGACCAAGAATGATGTTTTACTTCTCATTTATCATCTAGTAATCCAGACCTTGGCTTCTTTCCTTCTTGACTATATGTACTTTACTCAGAGGAAACTGATTATTACAATTTAGTATAGAGAAATAAGAGGATAAAATTTTCTCCTAATTAATTTTAAAATATGGTTTATAATGAGAATAATTTGAAATTATTATTGTAAATGATGTGTCCATTCATTGTGCCCATTTGATAAGGACTTTAGAGAGTATTATACACTTTGGATATTATTTGGTGCCAATGTTGACATTTTTGTGCTATTTTTGACTAAGATTTTTACATCATGAACTAAAGTGTCTAGTGGACTGCAGTATTCACTTTAATGCTAAATGTTGTGTTGTGTTTGTGTGTGTGTGTTTGACAGAGACCTAACTACAAAGTGAAAAATTCTGGCTAATTTTAAGTGAAAAGGAGGTAAATGTCACTACTGGATTCTAAATTATATATAAATTCCTTTTTCTACATCCTGGTATATATTGAACCCAGTTATGTTTAATTTCTAGACAATTGAAATTAATAAATCTTTCAATAACAACTTTTCAAAAACTGAACCTGGTATCTTATCCTCAAACTTACTGTACTCCCTAATTCCTACCTGCTGATTTCCTCACCAATGTGCCATTCCAACCCAACTGTTTCCCGTTCCTCATTTTCCCCCTCTCCAGCCCAGCACTCCTCTCTTTTTCACCTTCTGTATCCAGATTGCATAAGCTTGGATCACCTTGAGGTACTTGACAGAGTTGTCATAAAAGCCTTTTTATTGGGTTCTGTCTTCAGTCTTGTCTACTCTGATCAATTCTCCACACAATGCCTTGAGTGATAAATAAAATAAAAAGATTACAACACTTCCTTCCTCCCCAAACTTCTATGGCTACCCTATATGGCCACCAATGCCCAGATCAGTGAGGTGGTTGTATCAAAATCATCTGCAGGCGTTTGCAAAGGGTACAGGATTTCCCTCCTTCCTCTACAGAGTCACTGGCATAAAGAGCATTGTCACTGATGTCAATATTTCTCATATTTTAGGGAAGTGTGTCTCTTATCATGAAAACATGTTGAAAGCTACTTGATGTTGGGAAAGGTATTCTGCTGTGGCCCTGAGCAGTCCTGCAGATACTTTTGGGAATAACAAGAATAAAAGACTTTGGGATTGCTTTTTATCTGGGCCATTTCTCAGGGTGGTGTTTGCAATGAGCAACCTTGAGGGATTAGGTGATATCTCCCTCTAGCTACAAAGCAGGCCTGTATGAATCCCCCAAGGTCAGTGTTCTCTTTTAACACAACCCACAGGTACGGGCATCCATCATTGGTCCTTTGTGTCAACCCTGTTAGATATGCGGGAAGAAAGGGATAGGAAACTGGTATAAGCAACAGGCTGACACTTGGCTACTGCTTTGGCTCTGAATTACAACATCCTTTGTTTCTGACCCAGAAGACTTGTATCTTCTACTAGCATTATGAAACAGTAACGGTTTAGCTTTTAACTCTTTGGTAAGATAAATCTCAAGAACATTACATAGTACTTAACACTGACTTATGGAATAAACCCACATTACTGTATCCCAATATGTAAAATCTTCGTGTGTTACGCCTACATTCCTTCATCTTATTTTTCATTATGAATCATTTTATCTGATATGTTTTTTGTGTTCTTTTGGACAAATAATTTGAACTTTAGATACATTAGTTACCTTAAGAAATGAAAGAACATTCAAACTCCCTATGGATATATAGACTTATTCTATATAATACTTATGAAGTTGAATATGAGATATTTAATACTTTTGATGTAAACTTAGGTTTCTTTAAGTAGATTAAATGCACTCCCTAAATATCTATTTGTTAACTTTCTAAATTAGCAATATGCTAGAGAATAAGCAATGAAACTGTTAGTTCATTTAGGTAAACTTATCATAAATAATGCCAAAAAAGAGAACCCAAGGAAAGTAAAGCTCATTTCAAACCAAATCTACTTCACACTAAAGTATAACAAATACATTAATTGTATGAAAGGTCTTAGGATTATTTTGAGAAACAATAATCTCTCAACAGTAAATACTCAATTCATATATTTATAGACCATCTTAGCTTCTTGAGTTAGCTTTCTCTTGTAGTGGCCAGCCATCCACTAACATGTCACTATAAAAGGAAAGAACATTTATTTCTGTGAGAAGGCAACATGATGTCATGAAGCCCACACAAAATTTAGAGCCCACAGGTTCAAATTCAAGTTTCATCTCTACTTTTAAGAAGTCAGTTCACTTCAGAAAGTGACGTTTTTCTAACTTGTAAAACAGGATAAAAACAATACATTCAATGCTTATATCCCTGGGTTGCAATGTAAGTTAAATTATGGAATGTAAAAGGAATTTCTAAGGTACCTGTGTTCTAATTGCAATTACAGTATATAATTAACCAAGAATTATACAAATTAAAATTGACTTACACTCAAAATATGAGATTGATTCTCCTCAATGCCCCGAACTCACCAGTTATAAAGTAAATGCAAGGCCAGGTGTGGTGGCTCACACCTCTAATCCTAGCACTTTGGGATTATAGTGGGAGGCTGAGGCAGGATTGCTTGAGCCCAGGAGTTCCAGGCTGCAGTTAGCTATGATCGTGCCACTGCACTTCAGCCTGAGTGGGTGAGAGAGTAAGACCCTGTCTCTTAAAATAAATAAATAAATAAATAAATAAATAAATAAAACAGGCCGGGTGCAGTGGCTCACACCTGTAATCCCAGCACTTTGGGAGGCCAGGAGGCAGGTGGATTGCCTGAGATCAGGAGTTTGAGACCTGTCTGGTCAACATGGTGAAAGCCCGTCTCTACTAAAGACACAAAAAAATTAGCTGGGCGTGGCGGCATGCGCCTGTAATTCCAGCTACTCAGGAGGCTGAGGTGGGGGAATTGCTTGAACTAGGGAAGTGGAGGTTGCAGTGAGCCAAGATTGCGCCACTGGACTCTACCCTGGGTGACAGAGTGAGACTCCGTATTAAAAAAAAAAAAAAAAAAAAAAATTCCCCAAAGTAAATGTGATCTGATGGGCTTGCTGGTTCTGTATTTTTATTAATAGTATTCGAGACAGTATATTAATTAAATAAAGATTAGGGAAATACAGTGACTAATGTTACCTACTTAGCTACTGTGTATTAGACTTCGTGCTGGGGCTTTACATGTGATGTCTTATCAGTCAACTGAGATGAAATATTGTGAGATAGGGATTAGCTCAAGTTTACAAATGTAGAAACTGGGCCCACAGTGGTTAAGTTACATTCCCAGGGCCACATGGATCTGTCTGTCTCCCATGTCCAAGCTTTTTTCTGCTGCAGGATATCTTTTTGAGTAGCTATTTGGAGCTGCCCTTCAAAGTAATACAGTGGTGATGTCCTTTATCTTAAAGTTGAAAACTTATTTTTAATCTACTACTGCTAATATAAAAAGAACTTTATTCATACGTAGTTACAAGATCTTTTAAGTCAAAGAGCACCACCACCAGGATTACTGCTAAAACTCAAATACAATATAGAACAGGAAATGATTTCCAAATACCCAGAAAAGTAAAAGAGACAACTATTCAGCCAAACTATTGCTATTTCCAAATATACAATATTCAAAGCTAATATGGCATATGAAAGAAGAAAAGAAAATGTATCCTCCAGTTTGCTACTAAGCCTTAGTTTCTAGGGAGCATTACAACATGTAATATAGAAACCAGGACTTTCTGTACTCTGTTGTATTTCTCAATGAAAGGCAATCTGGGCTGCACCAGCTTTCCAAAAATATCACATGTGTTGGCGTGCTAAGATTCCTTAAACTGAAATTTGAATCAATGTTTTTTCTTTATAAAATTGGTTTCACAACTACCATGAGAAGTTTAAAGTATAATTCCCAAATACTATTTTGCTTTTAATCATTTAAATGATATGCAGAAAATTCATAAATTTGGCACATGAAAATACTCTAAAAGGATGTCAAGTTTTCATTTTTCTTTTTTAAATGATTACAAATATGGTTAACTTTTATTTTCTTTAAAAGATTACACCAGTCATCTATTTACCACGTTATCTCTTGTACATTTAGAAGAGAAAATAAATCTTAGCATTCAATTTATTTCTGAAACTCATAAAGGCTTACATTCTTACCTATTACCTATTTAGTAATTCTGCATAATTTAATACTGTTACAAACAAGATTAATATGCAGACCTTAAAAATAAGTTGTATAATATTTTAATAAAAGTTTATAGCCAGTTACAAGCCAATAAAAACCCCAGTAGTTTCAGATACTTTCACAATGTATGCAATTTATTCGTTTCACTATAGTGACTTCAAAATGAAAGACTATCACTTAGCATTTATTTAATACAATCCTAGATATGATACCAGTGATTAACAGGTCTTAAAATGCCCTGATTTTTGGTCTTGGCCTTTTACCATCGGAGTTTAAAGGTGCAAAATTATCAGTTAAATCCTGTGTTTCCTTTTTTATAAACAGAAGGCAAGGTCGAAGCATCATTTTCAAAACAATATTAGTGTTCCTCAAATAGCAGACCTTCAGCAACAAGAAGATACACCCAACAATGACTTTAGCATATGCTCACACAGTATGACTCAGACTGTGAAGCATATTTGGAAGTCACATTAACAATGTGGATGCTGGAAACCAAATTCTAGTTTTCCCCACTTACCAGGTGAATGA